TATTTGGTCCAGTGCTCAGCCTCCTCTTTGGGGCGGTATGCTGTACTGTCATCTGAAGTAGAATGATGTCCAACACTACAAACATCAAGAATTTTATAAGAAAATACGAAGAAAACTTAGAAAATTACCGATATGTGAGCGCCTCAATCAAAACAGGCTTGTTTTCTTTCACAGCAAATTCCCTCGCGCGTTTCGTGACATTATAAACAGCAAAAACATCGTTTCCATCAACCCGGACAGTTGTCATACCATACCCGGCTCCTCTGGCTGCAATACCATCACCACGGTACTGATCTTTCGTTGGTGTACTAATAGCAAAGCCGTTATTTCGGCAGAACATCAACACAGGACATTCCATTGTCGCTGCGAAGTTAAAAGCTGCGTGCGCATCTCCTTCTGAGGCAGCGCCTTCACCAAAATAACAAATAACAGCACGATTTTTTCCTTTAAGTGCGTATGCAGCCCCAACAGCCTGTGGCATTTGTGTGCTCAGTGGGCTTGAAATTGTTACAAAGTTTAAATCTTTGCTTCCATAGTGCACGGGCATTTGACGTCCTTTTCCTACATCATCAATATTACCATAACATTGACTCATGAACTGTTTGAGACTAAATCCGCGCCATACCAGGACGCCTGCTTCACGATACTGCCCGTAGACGAGGTCGTTGTCTTCCAAAGCAGCAGCACTACCAATATGACTGCCTTCTTCACCATAATTCGTCATGTAGAAAGAGATGCGGCCCTGACGCTGGGATTCATACAGGATTTTATCCATTACGTTTAGTAATGTCATGTCTTTGTACATTTTAATGAGGATTTCTGGTTTTAAGTTGGGATCTTCACTGGGTATGATTACATTACCCAGGCGGTCCATTACTCGGTAGACTGGTATCGGTGTGGGTTGATCTGGTCTGAGGAATTCGAGTTTTTCGGTCCATGATGTGCGTGCACCGGGGAAATTCGGCTGGCTGCTGAAGTGTCGTGCGTTTCTTACCTGCAGGAAAACCTGGCTCAACTTCCCAATGTTCTTACTGAGCGACATTACTTAACACTACGTTTGTGATTTGAAGATAACTGGGCTAATACAGGCGACTCAGTTGACAGTCGTGCGCAACACAAACTGGTTGTGTGACCTCCAGTACTCATAAATTGTTAATTTGCGTTCATTTTAGGCCTATTGCCTTATCAAACGTATAACAAACTTTATTAAAAGTTAACTTGTGTTATTACGGTAGGCAACCA